CCATGATAGTAATTTCATAGAAAAATCAAGTGGAGATATCTCATGATATGTCACTAATTCATAGGAACAATTCAGCAAAAAAAAAAAATAAACGGTCGTGAATTTGAATCCCATAGGTCTATTCTTTTGGACCCCCACCTACATACGGGCCATCACGAGACGAAAATTCTATAGAGGGAACATCTAACTCTCAAATATGCATGCCAGGAAATGAAAATTATAGTTTTCCACGAAAATAATGTGTACTTTTTGTTGTATTATCACCAAAACGAGTAACTGTACCAGACGAAGTGGTGTAGAATACGTCATCGTCGGTGTCGCTTGGCTTTAAAATTCTTACTTGTTTTTAAGTAAAAAAAAAACTAATGCGTTTGAGATCCAGAAGTTTTAATTCTTTTAAAATTTTCGAAAACCGATTAAATAGATACTTTTGTGCATTACTTACAATAAAGTTGTGCGAAACGCTTAAAATGATAAATGTAGCATGCATGGCATATCTATTTTTTGCTCAAAGTTTAATGTGAAACAATCAATCCGAAGTAACGTTAAATTATTATTAAGAGATATTTAACGAGTTTTCGAAATTTCGATTATATATATATACGTATATTTAGGTGCTCTATATATGCTTGTAAAGTGTAAGACCCGGAATTTCGCTATTTTTTCAAAGTGTTTACAACTGTTTACAACTGTTTAAGACTGTTTAATAACATTTTATACACTTTCGATCCGGAATTTCGCTATTATTTCAAAATTTCTGCTAATTTGAAGAAACCGTTATCAGCTTTCACTGTATATGTGAAAACACATATACATTAAAAAAAAAAATAGCAGAATTGAAAAGGCTTGCCATCCCAAATACTTCTATTAACAGTGGTAGGGAGATGAAACAAAAGAAACTCATTGATAAATATATACATATATATTGTAAGTTTGTTGCGCTTGGTGATCTTCTCTACAATAATTTTTGGCTAACTTCGCTTCCGCATTCCTCTTTCTAATTCTAACTTCAAGGTACGTTACTCCTAAAAATGTAACAAAAAAACAAACTTCTCCAATTTCTTCAATTATAGCAGCAAACAAGTAAAATATATCTCGATTACATTACTGTAGCAAATTCACGAAGAAATAACGCACATGTTTACATAAACATTTGTGGTGGTGATTAGAAAAAATTTAAGTAACTAATGTTAACCTTCTCAAATTTTTGCGATTTTTGGAAGGACCTGTAGGTGGATTTGACTTTTCTTCGACTTTATACTATTATCCGTATATACTGCTGATCGGAGTTATTTCTTCTCTCCATTCAAAAATGCGCTTGCCTATTATATGTGCATGACTATTTAGCTCATCAGGCTCGCATCGTAAATGCAGGGTTTTCCCAGGCACATAACTGGATTCTTTCGTGCAGCAAAGACAAACAAAACGTTGAACAATGAACGATAAAGTTAAAGTTCTCTGCAATTGAAACTTTATCATTTTTGCTTTGGCTTAATTTAGAAGTTTTGATAGATGAGTAAACCAATTTTGTTTTAAAATTGACAATTATTTTGGAATTGAATGTGAATCAAATGTTCAAAAATACCAGGCATAGAGATCGTTTTAGTATATTTATTATGGTATTGTAGATTGAATTTATAAAGGATATTGGTATATAAGAAAGTATTGAAATCTCGAAGTCGCTCAAATCTTATAAGAACATTATGTGTTGAAAGGCAGGAAAATTGAAACGATATTAATAGAAAAAAAAACTAGTGAAAATTGCCCAAAAACTTACTGAAGTGAAGTTAGCCCACTGTAGCTAGTCCACATTTTAGCGAAGACAAAAATGTGGGCTATCTTCACTTCTGAGCAACCACATTTTATCCGGGTCCGGGTCTTCGCTAAAATGTCTTTGCTGATTTACAATTTATTGCGAAATGAATAACAATAAAGTAAAATAAGTATTAAAATTAAGTAATTTTAGCGAACGTGCACATATAAAACACACTAAGTCGCTAATTACGAACGCAAAACCAAAAATGCTTAGTTATTGCTAGTAAATCTTATGCAAAAGTACGTTACAAATACTGAAAGAATGCAATGTTAAAATCGTGTTATAACCATTTTTAGACTACAGATTTTTGATATGTCTTAAAGGACGCTAGAACTTATTAGAAAAACCTAACTTCATTGCCATGTATAGGGGACATCACCCCGAAATTCGCCAAAAAACGGTTCTCTCCATATACCGGTTCTCTCCATACACTAAATTAGTGATAAAAAAATTTAAAGAAATATGACAAGTGCAGTTTTTTGATATGTCTTAAAGGACGCTATAACCTATCAGAAAAACCTAACTTCATTATCCTGTATAGGGGACATCACCTCGAAATTCGCCAGATACAGTGAAAAATGGTACTTTACAGGCAGATACTTGGTCCTTTGTATACCATGTTTTGAATTTCATTGAGGAAATGTTAACGCAAAAAAGTGAGCATTTAGTTTTGTTCCTAACGAATACAGGTTCAAGTTGCGCAACTTGGTTTTGAAACATACAGAGGACCTTAGCCATATTTGTATATATTGTTCAAGACAGGTGAAAAATAAAACTATGCAATGTGTTACTTGCAAAAGACATATGCATGAATTTTGCATAAAGACTCATCATTTCGAAAGTGATATTGACAATTAATTTAGGTGTTTATTATGCACCAACTATATTAAAAACGAACATTAATTTCTGGACAGCTGGACAAATAGTTTATAGGCCTGAAATATATTTGGGGAAGAAGCTATTTAAAATAAATGCTAACGCGCCTGTTGCAATACCTCAAGGGTGGTGCGGAAAACTGCAACGCATTGAAATAAAAAATTGATATTGAACTGAAGTGAATTTTATGTAAATGAATTGATATAATTTCTAAGTTTTACAATCCCTCATCATTTATGAATTTATAAAACAAACTGAAAAAATCTGGAAATTGTAATCCCAAAATCGTTATGTGCTTCCTGTATGGTTTTTCAAAATCTTCGGCTTAAGAGAACTGCTTATTAATTATATGACTTATTCATAGTAATTATGTACTTTAGGTACCATATTGTCTTTAAATAAAATAAGTTATATGGCATAATATACGCCGAAGTAAATGACACCGCCGAAAGTACATCTCACCGCCGAAAGTAAATGACACCGCCGAAAGTACATCTCACTGCCGAATGAAGAAAATATATATATATTCATGTAATGTTGTCTTCTTCTTTTCCTTAGAATATACGCCGTCATACCCAAAAGTCATAACCTGAATTTTTATCGATGCAAATAACAAGAAAGAGAAAACAGGTAGTGAAGTGACTGCTAGGCGCACGCACAAACGCACACGAACATTTTTGCCATAGCATATATTTCATTAGCCTATAGAATGTTTTCAACAAAATTGTACGCGATTCATATTTAGAAAAATGACGACAACTCAATACCATACAAATAACTTCTTACGCAAGTGTATGGACAAACGCGTTACCAATGCAAATATATCCGCGTAATGCATAATCTTAAACATACATGCTGAAAAAAGACAAAAACATTATGTGTACCAAACATTTCATTAGTAAATGAAAGAAAAACATAATGTATATAAGTTCGAACATTTGATTAGCAACATTATTGCAAAATTTTGCCTTTGCGGTCTTGTGAACATGGAGCGGACCGGTTTTTGGCGAATTTCGAGGTGATGTCCCCTATACAGGGTAATGAAGTTAGGTTTTTCTGATAGGTTGTAGCGTCCTTTAAGACATATCAAAAAACTGCAATCGTCATATTTCTTAAAATTTTTTTATCATTAATTTAGTGTTTTGGGTATATGGAGAGAGCCGGTTTTTGGCGAATTTCGAGGTGATGTCCCCTATACATGGCAATGAAGTTAGGTTTTTCTAATAGGTTGTAGCGTCCTTTAAGACATATCAAAAATCTGTAATCTAAAAATGGTTATAACACGATTTTAACATTGCATTCTTTCTGTATTTGTAACGTACTTTTGCATGAGATTTACTAGCAATAACTAAGCATTTTTGGTTTTGCGTCCGTAATTAGCGACTTAGTATGTTTTATATGTGCACGTTCGTGCTTACTTAATTTTAATACTTATTTTACTTCATTGTTATTCATTTCGTAATAAATTGTAACTCAGCAAAGACATTTTAGCGAAGACCCGAACCATAAAAATGTGGGTTATCTTGGGGGTCTAACTTCACTTCAGTAAAAAGTTCAGAAGAAAAATGTTTTGTATTCGGAGTTGGTTTGGTGGCGCTTGGAATAAACCAAATGGTTAGCTGAAATGTGTATTTCAGCAAGGATTTGATAATTATTTTCTAGCTTAAAGTTACTTTGGTGTACGTGAATATGATATGCACATTTAGTGCGGAATGCTAGTTCTCCAGTTCCCACATTCCTTCATCTTTAAACCACTTATATGGCAGTGGAGAAACGACGGTTGGATTTGACCACGGAGCAATCGAATCTAAATGACTCAGGTTACTTTAAGGACCTGGGTGAGATTTTGGTTACTTTGCGGGCAGAGCATTCGCGAAATAAATTAGGCGGTTACGGCATGTATTCATTTATACGGTGTTATGATAGAAAAGCGAAAGCGACCAAGTCAAGGGAAAACAATCGGAAACAATCAGGAAACCATCAAAAAGAATAACAACTTCTTTTATATATATATATATTTTTATATATATTAATAAAATATTTTAAATGTGTAATAAAGCTATTACATAAATAAAACTATTTATTTTGTTTATATTTAAATATAAATTATATAAATTAATATACAACAACAGGAAAAGCCAGTTTGATTTTCCCAATGACAAATCGGTTGTTGCTATAAGCTCCAACTAGACGATGGGTTATATAAAGTAGTATTTATTTCTTTGAACTAGTACAAGTACGTATTAAGCCCGATAGCCGCAATTTCTTTCGTGGGTTTACTTTTAACACTGTATCGGGATTTTTTTCCATTTCCTGATAGGGCAATTTTCTATTTGAGCATGGTGTACTTGTTTCCACAGCCTTTTTAACAAACTTCCCTAATTCGGGTGTCGTAATCTCGGTTTGTCGTGAATTTCTATTGGGTGACTCATAGAGTTCATTGGGTGGCCTAAAATCTAATTTTGGGTTTAATGACAACAAGTGCTTTTTACGAAACAGCATTGGACCATTTAAAGCGGTTTGTTTCGATTCATCATCAAGAGTCAACAACGGTGTATCATCGGTCTGTGGACATGCAGCTGACAATTTGCTGCTACAAATGGGATAATCGTATATTCTTTCCTCTTTCCTGCTTGTTAAAGATGATTTTTTTCAGACAGCATGCTTTGATTTTTGGAAATAACTTTATTTTTTATAGAAAGCAAATTATTCTTTATATCACTATCACGTTCACTTTGATTAAGTTCGTTTAGCAGGCTTTCCACACGTTTTTTCTATTCTCAGATATCAGCACCTTCTTGCCACTCCTTGTTTGAAAACCTGCAGAAACAAGCGAACTTCCCGGATTAATGACCTTGCCAAGCTCCATTTACTCGTTTCCTGCAAATTGTCTTGAAATTCTTTTAGAATATTTTGTACGGATGGCTTTCTTTCGATATGGAGATTTTTTTACCATTCGCTGTTTGAAAACTCGCAGAAATAATCGGACTTCCCGGATTATTCACCTTGCCCACTTAATCTCGACTCACTTCACTTTTCACTTCTTCCCATTCGTTTTCAATAAAAATTTCATTCAGGCTAACTGCGTTTTTGCCTACTCCCAACTCCGTCCGTTCTCCCCTTTTTGAAGTCCTAATGCAACATTAGTTTCACTCAGCACCAAGTTCTTGGAGTACTCACTAATATTATCTCTTTGGTTACCTTTAAAGCCAATCAAAAAAATAATAAAATAATAAGCATAATAAAATATGAGGAATATCAATGCCATACCCTGGGTTATCTGCTTATTTACTGGGAACTTAGACATATGGGGAAAATTATCATTCATCTTCACGTCTTGGTGTAGGATTTCTTGAGTGCTTATAGAAGCAAAAATGTCATCGTCATCTTCATCCCAATCATAATTCCTACTTATCTCAGTTTTAAACTGATTGGATGGCACCAAAGCTGAAAAATTTTGGATTAACTTAAATTAACTTAAATGTTGTCTCTTCACAAATTTTAAAAACAACTTCCTTTCATTTACCTTGTATGTGTCGGCTTTCTCGATATCGTCGTAACGACGATCTGAAGCTTTTCCTAAGAAGAATGTACAAAGTTAGACTTGTTAAAAAAAAGCCTATAAAGAGCCACTTACTTTTTGTTTCTGGCGTAGAATCGTATAAAAAAGCCAATTTTGCCTTTTCTCTAAAATCACGGCTATAATTACGTTTCGGTTTCTCCCGTAATATAAATAAAGGGGACCGCTCCAAATTCGTTATTGTCGTTTGCGCATAAAGCCGGGAATCCACTAAGGACATTATTTCATCTTCGTATCGACCACTTTTTTCTAAAGCGATATATTTTTGATTTACCAATGTTTTATTGATATTACAATCATTCGGGCCGTCTAAGCAACTTTCTTCACCTATATTGACTTTACTTGATTCCATGTTTCAATAATTGAATAAAAGATTTTAAAAAAAATTGTTTCTTTTTACTTGACAGTTGAATTACACTTTTTACAATTCTTCCTCTTGCTCCCACAATTTATGGTTGTCAAACATCGCTAATGCATTTGATAGTAATGCATATCACGTAACTATTGCCATATATTAAGCCTTTATGGCCGTTTATTCGTCTGATGTCCGCCTATATATTTTTGTGTTCAAGCCGCAGGTCGCAATTTATGATATATTTTGAAGAAGTTTGGCTCAAGGACGAATGCTATTGAAAATTGTTCGCATCGGTCCACTTTTTTGGCCACGCGCTATTGTGAAACGTCGTTATATGGAAAAAATTGCAATTTTCAAAATATCTCGGCAAAAATGACTGAGTAGTAGCATTCCAGTTATCTAAATTGGTGTGAAGATTTTAGGCCGATTGGTGCAATTTTTTGTACCCCCCCTCATACAAATGTGTCTGCGGAAATTAAGACTGTATATGGTAAAAAGATCAAATTTACAATATATAATGGTGAAAGTGGGCCCATAATAGTAAATTGATAAAAAAAAATCGACCTTACCGCATGTGGAAGACTATTTTTTGAATACCACAGCATATAGGGATTCTTACGGAACGTAAATCGTTATATGGCAAAAAAGCCTAATAGTTAAGTTTTTTGCGATGAAAATTTGGTCATGATAGTAATTAAATAAAAAAATTAATTGAATCTAATTTGAACCACATGGGTTTATTTCTTCCCTCACTCTATATAAGATATCTGATGACGTCTTAATAATTCGTTGGAGCATTTCAGCAAAAAAAAAAATAACGGTATAATTTAAACAAAGTCCACAAACAATTATGTAAAAAATTGTCCCTTATTTGTAGAATAATATATAAGTAAGGGACCTCTGTTGCGTGTATCAAAAAGAAATCGGATAATTTCGAATGATTTCGAATATTATTATTATTATTTTAATTTTAGACTAATGAATTGAATTCTTAGACTAAAAAAAGAGACATTGAGCACTAGCAACACAGGCTATCGGCTCTAATTATAAAAAAGAATAATAAAATGTACATTAGATAATGAGCTTAGTAGTATTAATAAAGTAATGTATAGAATTGATATTCTGTTCTGAAGCTGAATGTAGAATGTTCAAAGGGTTAATCGTTCCAAATGCAATACTTCTAGCCAAGGAAAAGTTGAGGCAGTCGCAGAGAATGTGCTTTATAGTAAGAGTTTGTCCACAACAGCAGATTGGGGGAGAAGACTTCTTCAGGATCCATTGGTGAGTTGCAATTGTATGAGCAAGGCGAATTCTCGAAAATGTTTGGATCTTGGTTTTCTCAACATTTGTTGGATATAAAGGTGGAGTTAATTGAGGGTTAATGCAAGAGTAGTGTTGATGATGGTATTGTAAATTTCCTTCTGCAATTTTCTCTTTAACTTTTCTTCCAATGTATCTTTGAAGATCCAACTTTTCCATGACATCATCCATAATTAGAGGAGCAGAAGCAGCATACTTTGCCGCTCGATCAGCCTGCTCATTTCCCAGTAAACCGATGTGACTTGGTACCCATAACATTTTAATTTTTCCGTCGGGTGTAGTAATTATATTCCTTAATTTGTTGATGGTGCTCCATCTCGAAGTCGAAGGGTTCCGGGTAGCTAGTAATACAGACAAACTGTCAGTAACAATGACGGTTTTGAGTTTGTTTTTATGGGCAAGGTTGGCAGCGTGAAGGATAGCTCTGGCTTCAGTTATGAAAGTTGAAGTGCTTTCGTGAAATATGTGGTTGAGAAGAACCCGTCCTGTAGCATCTACCACCGCACAAGCAGGAGGCAGACCAGGAGATTTTGAGCCGTCTGTGTACAAAAGATTCCAACCAGTATTGTCCAATACTTGGGTTTTCTCAGCTATTAGATTCCTGAAGACGTAATTTGGAGTATCTTCTTTCTTGTGCATAGACAGTGAGATGTCGAAAGAGCAGTCTTTCAAAATCCAGGGAGGTTTAACACCAAAAGAGCGGGAAATTTTTAAGGGAATGTTCAATTCCTTTGCGATGCACAAACAATGGTCAATTGCAGATGGTGACTTTGGAATTTTCTTCGCAATAATAATCTTTCTTACGTCATCACCGAGAATGGATTTGTTTGAATTAAGAAGCTTAGGGACTATTTTAGCCTTTAACTCATACAGTCTATTTTCTAAGGTTGGGAGACCAGTTTCAATTATAATATTACTTATGGGCGTCGTTCGAAAAGCATAACAACTTGCTCTAACGGCTTGGTGATAGACCGGTTTAAGGATGTTGATATTAGATTTGCAGCTATTGCCATAAATTATCAAAGCATAGTCAATCTTGCTTAACACAAGCATTTTGGTAAGATAAGCGATAGTGTTAATATGCGCGTTGCTTCTCCAAGCAACGTACTGTATGAAATTTACCCTTGTTAAAAGGGAGTTTTTTAAACGAAGGCAGTGTGCTTTCCAACGATAATTGTTTGAAAACGTGAGCCCGAGAACATGGAGCGTCTGCACATTTAGTAATGGTAAGCCGTTAATATGCATCAGTAGGTTTCCTGCATCGCAAATTTATTTTCGACAATTGTTTTTTTTTTGATTTTTGTATAGAGATTATAGCTCCTGACGAGTTTGCCCATGTGGAGATCTCACATGCAATAGATTCGAGGATGTTAATTGCTTTCGTGTTGTCTTTTTCTTTTGTAAAAATGTATACATCGTCCGCGTAGAGACAATGTTCCACTCTTGGAACACGGCAAAGAATTTCGCTAATTTTGTTGAAAGCGATCTGGAAAAGCGTGACAGAGAGAGGAGATCCTTGCGGAATGCCATTCTTTAGCGGAAAGGAATCAGAAAGATGATTGTTGATTCTAACTTTGAACCGCCGATGCGACATGAATGATTTGATGTAGTTGAAGAATTTGGGTCCAACATTCCATGATTTCAAGACTCTTAAAATAACATGAAGACCAACTTTGTCAAATGCTTTTTCGAAATCAATTGAGAGAATTGTTACGTGATTTCGTTCGGAAATTGCTTTGCTTGTGAAATAATCAATATGTAACACATCATCGATGCACCCTCTACCCCGCTTGAAACCAACTTGTTGCTTTGTTATCAGATTCTTGGAGTCAAGAAAACAAGATAATCTATATGCCATAATCTTTCCAATACCTTTGAGATAAAAGAGAGATTGAGCGATAATCCGTTGCGATGCAGACAATTTTAGACTTTGGAATTGGAACGACTGCTGCCAGTTTCCACATGTAGGGTATATGGCCAGTCAAAAAACCCGTATTATATAAGTCCAGCAATTTCTTTTCACTTGAATTAGACAGCGCACAGATCATTTGGTAGGAGATGCGGTCTAGACCAGGTGTCCTCCCCTTCGATTTGGAGAGACAACTTTCAACTTCTAAGGTAGATATGCAATTTTCTAAGAAGACGGCACATCTGTCAATACAATTTGAAAGAGTAACCGGAGTCCTTTTATTTTCGATGAAAGCACTGGAAAAGTTGCTGTCAGAGGAGTACTCGCACCACATTCGTCCAAAGTAATTAGAAATATCATGTGCGTCAGTTAAAGTTCCATTGGGAGTGCAGATGGCAGAAATTTCGTTCAAGTTTGAAGTCCCATTGAGTCTGTTGATTTTGTTCCAGACAACTTTCATTGATGTATTTCTGTGAGTTCCTCTTGAAAAAAGTTCGAAACTAAATGCCTTTGATTTTCGTAATTCCTTCCTGAATAGAGCATTGGCCTTTTTGTATAATAACAAATAATCAGGACATCTCTTAAAGCGGTGCCATAGATCCATTTTATTTTTCCTCAAAAACGAAAGCGTGTTGTTGCACCAAGGAACCATAGCTCGTTTAAAAGAGCTGTTGGATTGAGGAATAGAAAGATGAGCAGCCGTGCAAATCGCTTTCTATCAGCATCATGGTTGCAGTTCCCGTTAAATGGCTTTGAATTCAGAAATGACTCCACCTGTTTGGAGTAGTTGATCCAATCCGCTTTATCTAGGAGGAATTTGGCCTGTTTTCCTGGAGTAACAGAGGACGTTGAAAGTTTAAGATCTATTATGATTGGAAAGTGATCGCTATTATGCAGATCATCAGAAATAGACCAGGAAACCAAAGGAAGAAGTGGGGGAGAGCAACATGTTAAATCAATATGTGAAAAAGTGTGATGAGTTGAGAAGTGCGTTAGTTTTCCATCGTTTAAAATGCAGAGATTGCCAAAGCAAAAAATGTTTTTGAAAATGCCTTCATTCAAAATTGAAGGCCTTTTCTAAAACAGTACCACGAGTGTTGTTCACTGTTGTGACATATAGAGCAAAAGCACTGTAAATTTTATGTTTAACATTATTTGTATCGCTACGGCTTGTATATTTGAGCTTATTATTATTATTATTATTATTATAAATTTAGCCAGAGAATAAATTCTAAGACTAAAGTCTTAAAGCACTAGCATCTAGGGCTATCGGCTTTTTTTTTTTTATTAAAAAACTCTACCGCATTTGAGGTTTGAACCCACGACTATTGAGTTGCTAGTCGAGACTCTTGCCTACTCGGCCACTCAGGCGGATTATATTTGAGCTTAAATTTATGCGTTTGTGAGGTATACTTGATTTTATAAAAACACCAACTCCTTGCTTGGAATATGAATTTTGATCAGCATT